TATTTTATCTAGCTATCTAAAATTTTATCTTATTGTTATCCTATAAAGAAGCATTAAAAATTTAAATTAGTATTAGATAACTCGGTTTAGGATACTAACTCAATTTGGGATTGTTAGGGACAAATCGTTGCAAGTTTCTGTGTGGAGCAATTAAGGCAATCAAGCATGTTTAGATAAAAACATGGCAGCTTGTATTGACCTGTGTACAGAGCAAGTGCATCAGCATTTCACACCAGCAAAGCAAAGATGTACAAGTTGATGCATGCAGGAAATCAAATCTATAAAAAGTATGGATAGCTAAAGAAATGTTTTTATATTTTTTCCTTCACCAATTATCCATATTCATGAATGAAAGGGATATAAGTCATTACAGCCATTGTTTTTATAACTATCTATAAAATTTATTTAAACCACGGCAAAATGCCTGAATCAGAAGAAATACCAGCAGTATCATATTGAGTATTCAAAATATGGATTTATGCACACATTTTCTAAACAAGAAAATGATAGACAATGAATCTCATATAATATTTCATTGTAAATCACAAAAGCAGAAAAACCACACACAGTTGTGAGAAATTAATCTTCCCATCAGTCAATGAGATAATAAAAACTGTTCTTTATAAAACTGTCAGATATCATCAAAGTAATTCCTCTTAGGAATAATTCAGTCAAAGAAGAATAAACTAAATGGCATCATGTGATTACATGCAGGTTTTCCATTCGTCTTGGTGAATCAGTTTTACAAAATAAAAAATCTGATGTGTACACCACATGACTTCCTTGTACGGAATAATAAATTATACGCATTTTTTCTTCCATTTCATTTAAACTTATTGGATTGAATTAAATCTACTTCCCCGACAGCGCATAAACCACAATAGAATAAATGCATTCTTTAAAATTCACTCTATTTGTTTACCATAGCGATACTCTGGTGCTAGATTCACTTAACAGTATTATATTTCGTTCATATTATAACTCAGAATGCACAAAATTTACATCATTTAAAGAATAGAATTATCTAATCGTTGCCACATGTTCTATTCAAATACTATAATAAAGCTAGAATGATGTATAAAAGAAATTAAGGAAACAACAACAACAACAAAGAAACAGTTTTTCACAGACGATTGAGTCAGTACTTCTCATTCAATTAAATTCAGTTTCTCACTTCGCGACAAGACAAAAATACATAAAAACTAACAAATATCTGTATTAAAAATTACGAAAAGTAAATCTTAAACACTTATTTCCTTCGAAAAAATCCAAAAAGGATTAAGCCTGAATTAATTCGCAATAATAAAATGAAGGCGTTATCTTTGTTATTTGCGAAGCTTGCGTTTCTCTAGATTGGCAACAAAATCCTACTAGTCTGCTGTTTCAAATGTAAACAAAGCAATGGCCTGCCATGGCAAAAATATTATTAAACTTAGCGGCACTTAAACAACTTTTAAAATTGTTAGATAATTCTAAAAATATTGCACACAGATTTACTAAAGGCATAAAAACCTTAACCGAAGATAATAAAAACAACATAATTCAATCATTTTTAAAGCAAAAAATGTACAATTTACAAACATATAAGAGTAAAGAAACTGAGATCACTGAGCCGGGTAACAGAGTGGATATATATATATATATATATTTATATACGTTTGGTGCGGCCGATTGCAACCAAAATACGAGGTGCACATCTACATGTTATAGCAGTCCTATATACAAAATTTCAACGTTCTGAGGCTACTCGTTTCTGAGATATGTGAGATACGTACATACGTTCGTACAGACGCCACGAAAAATTTTCTTCAGAATTAATTTTAAAGCAGTTTTATAATTTTTTGGAGGAAATGAGTCTTTTATTCTGTCCTTATGTACAGATATAACCCAAAAACATCATTAAATTGCATTCGATAGCGGTCAAAATGGATATTTTCGTTGAAATACGCTGCCTGAAAGTTTTCGCGATTACAATACTTCCTTTTTACTTCGTACAAGGATGTAAAAACACTGCTCTTATCATATATTGGATTCATAAAAGAAGAAAAAAAATTGTTACAATGTATTATTTTTTAAAAATTTGGAAGGCAGTGTAAAGGGAGAATCGATATTTAATACCATGAACAAGTTTTTTTCAAAAGAAATAAATTCCTTTTCATAATACTTTGTCAGCTGTTTCTGATGGCATTCCAGCAATGATGGAGTGTCATAATGGTTTTATAGTGCATTTAAAACAAGCAGCACTAAATGCATTCACTATACATTATGTTATTAATCATCAGCGTTTGGTTGCAAAAAATCTGAATGAATGCCTGCATATGTCACTTCTGTATGCTTTTAGAGCAGTCAATAAGATCAGAAGCAATTCATTGCATGAAAAATTATTTGGACAAATTTATAATAAATATTATGAAGAATACAATCACTGGCTGCAGAACGCAGAACTTCAATGGCTGTCAGAAAATATTTGTTTGAATCTATTTGACTTAGTGCTGGACTTCCTTAAAAACAAAGTTGAAAAACTGCACTGAAGCCTGATTACATCCAAAAATGACATTGCATATTTCATAGATCTGTTTAAAATATTTAATAAGGTAAATGTACATTAGCAAGGTGATAAGTTGAAGTTAATTTTTAAAGAAGTCATATCTGCTTTGTGGAAAAACATCATATATTCAAATGAAATCTAAGCAGAGGTGAATACAGCCACTTTCCCACACTATCAGCAGTTTCTGTAAAACAGAAAAATTTACTTTCCTACTACCAACACTTTGAAGTTCTTCATCCTGATTTTAATGGAGTGATTCCAAAATATTGAAACATGAATATTCCGAGTTAGATTTTAGATCCTTTCGCAAATGCACATAGAGCAGAATCATGAAATTTAGAAGAGAAACTTGGAAAGACTCCGAGCTAAAGAACTAGAAGTGTAAAGTTCAGAAAGGGATACAAAGGGTTCTGGCTCCAAAAATCAATATTAGGTTTCTATTGTGGAGTATGGGTAATTTTTAATTGCTTTCCTTCATTATATTTAGCTGTTCGGTGTAGTAGCTAATTTACGGTCGAAGAAAAGGAACAGATTGCACTTCATTGAACGCGGCAATTTGCAACTCATGTTATCGGAACTAGAACCACACATTAATAGATTGTTAAAAACCAGCTTCAACCGTCTCACTAATATATTTTTTAAATTTCTTATTGATTTTATCTTTATTTTTTAATTTTTAATAACAATTTTATAATGTAGTTCATGGTGCTTTTAAATTAATTTCTGCCTTTTGATTCTTATTAATCTTCTAGCATGCGCACGTCGTATTTTTTACAATATCCATTATTTGACCATTTTTTGACACCAAAAACGACAGAAATGAATGAATATTGATAATAAATTTGTTAAGAAATAAAATATTAATCTTATTATTACATAATACAAATAATAACACATTCAAATATAATTATTTTTAAGTTCTTATGTTAGTGAGATGGAAATGCAATGATGTATTTCATTATAGAACATTTTAAATTTATTATTTATAATATATTTTAAAATTGAAGCTAATTTTAATGTTCATATAAGGCAAGTATAGACAAATAAAGGAAAACTCCTTGGTAGGAAAAAAAAGTGCGTTTAGCATTACTTACTTCTGCAAGGAAATTTACTTCTTACTGGTTACAAAAACACACTTTAAGCTAAATTTAATATTTTTATTTATTTCTAAAAAATAGAAATAAAAGAAAATAAGGAATGGAAATCTCTTTTGTTCTCCCATCCAAAGGTTTCCTTTTCTTCATCAGATAATTCTTGAAGAATGCGAACAAAATCAGCTGGTTACACATATTTTTTTGCCATGAAAACTGATAAAAAATTTACAGAGCCAAATGTATTCAAATTAAACGAATTTTCACCCACGACCACGCGCGTATCGTAACTTTTATGAAAAAGCTGCCATGTAGCACAAATGCCCAGTAAAAAAAAAAAAAAAAAAAAAAGTCCAGTGACTTCCTGATGACACATTCCATGATGTGGGGAAGGGTAGAAAGGAGGAATAGAAATGACATTCAGACGTCTCGGTTTCGATATGCAAAAAATGTGCATTAAAAAGTGAATTTGTTGTAAATTTTGTGCATATGCACGTGCTGGAAGGTTAAATAGGTAGACATGTAAGTATAACTAATATGCAACAATATTTTGATATTTGATGTAACTAACTATTATGGGAGAAAGGGCATTGGCATTTTCCCCCTCTTGGAAAGAGGGTGCTTCATAAAATGTTACAAACCATTGGCCTAGGTGTCCCCATATTGCATCTTTAATGAATAAAGAACAATTTCAATGGTAACATTTCTTCATCTTTATGCTCAACCTTTAACTTTTCACTTGCATTTCTCCATAGAAAGAAAGTATCGAATCTCAATTTTTCCCATCTGTTTCATTCTAGATTGTGATTAATTGTATTTTCATTCATGTCAGTTTGGCTGTAACTTGAACGAAAGAGGAGTAAAATAAATTTTATGTAGTTCTTTTGGAAGAACATTTAAGTAAAATGATGAATCTAAAGCAGTACATGTACAATAAAAAAGCTCATGCATAATAAAAAAGCATTATCATTGAACTGTTGTTATAAATCAAATTACAGTTTACAGTTAAATTATTGTGGATATTAATAAACAAAAACTAACAAAGAAAGCTTGTTCTGTATTTTGATAAAACTATTTTTTTATTTATCGGCGAATTTAAGTTTATAGTCTGATGTTATCTTCAATCATTTATTGCTGAAAATAAGTTACAATTTTGAATGAAAATTTTAAAGAATTTATCTTTTGTTGTTGCATTATTTATTGTAAATATATGACTATGAGTGCTAAATAATCATGTAGTTTTATATTATTAAATATGTCTTGTTATGCTTTTGTGTGATTGATAAAGTTAAAATTTAATTTTCATAATTACCACCAGTCAGGAAAAAAATATTTGTGATTCGGGATGGTTTACATTTCAGTGAGAAAATAAAGATGAAAGAAAGAGAAGAAACATGGTCTAAAATAGAAAGTTTAGCTTTAAAAAATCCTAAAGTATGTATTGTATTTTTATAATTTTTGTTTTAAAATTCATAAAAATGTTTGTATAATCCAAGTGGTATTGAAGAAATGAAGAAAAAATCAAAAAGATGGGTATGCAAAATTTTGGTGTATTTTTTTAACTTAAAGAAGTTTGTCTAAAAATTGGCTTACCAAGTGCGGTCAACAAGTACTTTATAGTGTGCTATTTTAAATGGGAAATTGGAAGTTATTTTCTGCTGCCTGATTTGATTGTCAGAACAATAGCTAGCGAAAAAAAGGTCTCTATTTCATCATAAGAATTAATAGCTGTAAGTTAATCAGAGATAATAAAAAAATAATAAATTCTACAATGACTTAAGAAGCAACCATTAAAATTCTGTGAATGACAGAAAAGGCAAACATGTCAACAAACTTAGTCTGCATTAACTAGGGCAACCCAAATGCACGTTTTTCTACTTTTCAGAGTAATCATATTTTATAGTTTAAGTAATGAATAAGCCATGTATTAATAAAAATTTTAATTAATATAAATGGTGAGGGGAAGCGCATATTTTAAAATAACATTATAGTATGAAATCTTTTCATGCTTAAAAGTAGTAAAGATTGGATTGATTTGCCTACCATTTATGATGATATCAGCTTAATGGAGAGTTGGGACCAGTGTTTCTTAAAGCAGCTATTATTCTTACCTGTACGATAAGTAGAGATTGAGTGTAATAATATACCTTTGTCAAGCATATCGCATATGGTTGTGATGTTGAGCTAATCGGTTTCTTGTTTTAATCAAATTTGGTGAGTATGAGTGTTACCATTTTATAGCATGTATGCTTTTCCTGTTACATTTGTGTAAGGACACAAAAGTCCATCAGATCGTTTTTGTCAGTGTTGGGTTGTTAGTGTGTGGTAATTTGCTATTCATTTTAAAAAGTGTAGTAATGCTGATAGAATCTCTGATGTTATAATGGTCACTAATAAATGTACATGCAATTGATATTTATTGTATTATTTAAATTATGGGATACTTCCAGTACCTATTTAGTTTTCTTTGTATCAAAGAGTGTTATGCAAACATTATCAGCTGTCTTGCACTGAAACTGTAGCGTTAAAGTTTACTGTGTAAAGTAAAAAATCGTAATATGCTTCGAGATGTGGCTACGAGCAAGTGCTAGGCTTTGTTTGTCTGAATCTTTTGAATTGGATGTATGTTTATATTTGACATTTAAAATACGCAATAGATTAAGCCCCCCTTTTTTTAACTTTTTATTCAGTTTGCAATATTAATTATAACAATGATTTGGAATTAAAAGTTCAGCAGAATTAGTCAAACAGTCTGTAACAAATGCACAATCACTAAATGCTTTTGATCTATTTGCAGTAATGTGCATAAGAGCAAAACTTGCATGAACTGTTGCTTCATTGCATTTATTTGCTTCCACAAGAAAACATTTTATTATTGTTGTAAACCAAATTTTAAGAAGTGTAACTATTCTTCCCAGTATTTACTGGAAAGTAGTTTACTTTCCAGTATTTCAAATTTTCCTTTATGAGTCGTTTCATAATGGCAATGTAAGTTGTATCCTTTTGCAACTGATGTTGTCTTGTTACAAATAAAACATCAAATTTTATTCATCGCAAGTATGTAATTTCCCATTTGTATCTTGAAAAACACATCTTTCTTTTGTCTCTTCCCTGTCATAAAGGGTAACTTTCTTAAGCTGCGTTCACACTGGTCCATTGGGGTGAAAAGCGTCAATGTGGAAAAAAAAAACTCTTTCCATGTACGTCAGTTCACACCAGCGCAGCAACTTTCGCTTTAAAATTTGTCATATGCTCGCACTAGATGGCGCTTTACATCGGAAACTTGGGGGGCGAAGCAGGAAATTTTTTGTGGTATTTTTACTTTTTACGATTATATTTTTTAAAATTAAAATGGATTTAATTTCTGCTCAATTAAAACTTAGTTTACTTCTTGCTTTGTGTAAGATAAGCAGAATGCAGTGGTTTATATTAATAGGTGAGAGATGACTGCAGGAAAGAGATGCAAATAATTTAATTGAAGAAATGCGCTTGAATGAAACGAAATTTCTTTTAATTACTTTCGCATGAAACATCATCAATTCGATGAATTTCTAGCACTCATTGAACTATTTAGTCAAAAGCAGGACACTAAATTTTGTCAGAATATCGCAGAAAAGAATTGATTGGATGATAGGAATAGGATATCACAGAAAAGGATCATTGTACACTGGTGTGCAAAAATTAAGGACGAGACAGTTTTTTTCAATATAACTTTGTACAAAAGCTTTCCAAATCAACACATTTAATACCGTAAGATCCCCAATACGTAAGGACATGAGTAATGTAAGCAAAGCTTACTAAAAGAGGAATCAGAGGGATAAAAAGAAGCTTTATTGAAAAAGTAGCATGGAGCGCAATGCGACTGAAGGCCGAAACATCCGGTCTTTAATAGGGGATATGATCTCCCCTGACTGCTAGGCAGGTTTCACAGCGTCTGCCCATGCTGACAATGAGGGTGTCAATGAGTTGTTGAGACATTGCTGCCCATTCGTCTTGCAGCGCCAATCAAAGCTCCGAAATCGTTACTGGTGGTAAGGTACGAGCTGCCAAGCGTCTGCCTAGAAAATCCCACACATGCTCGAGGGTATTGAGATCCGGAGATCGTGCCGGCCAATCCATACGTTCAATATCCTCACTCTCTAAGAGCTGTTCGGCAGCTACTGTGCGATGACATGGTGCATTGTCGTCCATGAAAAGGAACTGCGGACCCAAAGCTCCTCTAAAAAGACGCACATATAGAACAAAAATCTCGTTACAATAACGGGTCCCGTTGACTGAACCTGTGTCGAAAATGTGAAGGTCTGTACGACTACCAAGCATGATGCCTCCCCAAACGAGAACACCGCCACCTCCATACCTACCCTTTCAATGATGTTCGAGGGATGATTGCGGCTTCCCCGCTCTCTCCAGATGAGTATGCGATGAGAATCGCTACTCAGACGTAATCTGCTCTCATCTGTAAAGAGTACTCGTCCCCATTCATTGTCTCTCCAATTCCGGTGTTCCCGGCACCACAGAGAACGCCTTCTCCGATGGGCAGGCGTTAGAGGTACAACACCGTACAGGGCGTCGTGCAAACAGACCACCACCGTGCAGTCTTCTGCCCACGGTAAAACGCGATATCGGTCGTCCAGTCGTGTGTCTAGCGATTTCTCCGGCTGTCTGCCGCCTGTTTCTTCTGGCCTGTAAGGCAATATACCGGTCATCTGCGAGTGTGATTCCTCGTGGACGACCACTACTAAACCCCCGGATAGCTGTTCCTGTAGTTTGGAAATTGGTCTCCAAAGTCGTGTGAAACGATACTGTGAGCAATTCCGACTCTGCAGCCACACTTGTCACACTGCGGCCTTCCTCCAACTTCCCAATGATTCGACCTTGGCTAAAAGCATCCAGATGTCGTCTAACAGATTGATTATTTGCCATTTCTTGCTGAGGCAGCAACTCGGTGTGATTTTAACTGCTATACGGCGCGCAATCTCTTTGCCAGAAATACTGATCTTACACTGACAACATGCTTTATACTACTCAGACACTCCCCCATTACGTCTACCTGCATATCTGCGCATGTGCTACCGTACGTCACCTTACTTAATCTCCTGATTGGTCTTTCTGTCCGCTCTGCCTCTTCGTTCAGCTGATATGCTAATTTTTCGACTTCGTCCTTAATTTTTGCACACCAGTGTATATATCTAATTTATTTATGAATTTTGTTGTATGATAATTAATAAATCCTAATTGCATGATTCTATTTTGGAGAGTAAATTTTTCATGGAGTAGAATACCATAAATGTTTTTGCATGATGTATGAACTTCCCTTAATTGCTTTAAGTAATGCAATAAAAAGTATATTTTATTTATTTATATGTAGGATTTACAGCATTACTAAACTAAATATCACACTTAAAAAAGCAGTTATTTTTAAGGTAATAAACAACAGCAATTTTTTTTAAAAAAAAGTATATTAGTTTCTGCCTTATTTTCGTATTTTTTACCTTAAATGTAAAAGTAATTACTTCAATCAGTCATTTGTATATTAGTGAACAGCCACTATCTAAAGGTTTATTTTATAAGGTTACTTTTATCTAAAACTCATTAAAGTAACTGCATTTTATATAATACTTCTTTGCCTGCATTGAAAATTGAATTCCATAATTAGCAAATTTCCTAATGCTCATGCAAAAATTCTTTAAATTAATGAAAAATTATCATCAAGATTAAAACCTGTCGAAAAGTGGTCATGTCTGTTAAGAAAAACAAACATGAAGCCATTAAAATGCACAGTAATATTAAATAAAATCACCTACATACTAGCGGGCTTCTTTTCTGTATAAATAACAGTTTTCTTAATTTTTTTTTTAAACAAATGGTTTACTCGTCTCCACTCGCTTTAAATTCAGAACTCACTAAATTTTTTAATTAGATGAAACAGCAACTTTATACTAATACTAGTATTGCTTTTGCTAGTCTGGTGTCAGCTGTATGTCGAAAGAAGGAATGCACACAATGCCGAACGAAAATTGATATTTTTTCTAAAAATAACAATTCCATTACAACAAACACTTCTGGGGACGCTTGAATCCAAAATCTTTAACACAAGAAGCCAATGTTTTATCCACTAGGCAACAAAAGCAACCTTAAATTGGTGTAGATATATTTTAAGAGAAATTCGAAATCGATCACTATTTTCTCGCAACAGTCTCTTGCTTTAGATTATTCTCTAAAGATTATGAACCATGTATAATTTATGATTGATTATTAAGGTTTATTACTGCTAATAAACTGGAGAATTTTCCTTTAAATAATTTATAAAGCTATTTATTCTATTAGCGTATGCATTTTTTTTATTATCTGAAATTTTATAAGATTAGTCCATTTGACTTCTTTTTTCATCAAGAAGAATTTTTGAAAGTGCAATCATTTAAAAACCATGGTATAAACTGGACATTTTAAACGAGATGCCTGAAACTGACGCGTCAAAAATTTGAAGTTAAGTCAACTCACTTGGTCTCCGGCCATCCGGCAAATGCCGCTTCTGAACTTGCTCCTGATTGGTTAATGCTTTACGTGTGACCACGTTGGTATTAATGCATATTTAACCCTCTGAGGGGCCTGGTTTTTTGGATCTGTCATGAAGAACCTTTATTATCTAAATATATATATTTACCTATATTATATATTTATATTTACCTATTTTAGTTTCTATCGTAAACCTAATTTCATCAAGATGGCATTTATATTATTAATGAAAGTAAGAAAGCAAAATATCTTAAATTTTAAGTACCAGTGTAACTTGTATCTAACGCAAGCATAAATAACAGATTTTACAAAACATACGTTAGTTTTTCTCCATCGCTTTAGCAATATAAATTGCATAGCAGTCATCAAGTTTATCAATGAGTGACTGTGGGAAAGTAAAAGTAATAACTCATTAGAAAAAATGGACATACCAGAATGTTCACTGTGTGCTGATGAATAAATTTATTGATTGTATTGAACTGAACATAGTCATACGACCTGGCGTGGAACCATACGAAGTCTATAATCTTTTCATTTAAAAAAATTTTGAACTAATGTTTCACGAAGACCAAAACTTTTGAAATGATTTCAATGTTTCTTACCTTTGATGAAGTGGCTTTGAAGTTGATTGATTGTATTCCTCTTCTCTTTTTTTTTTTTTTTTCCTTTTTTTCCTTTAAACAGGGTTGCCACGCTACCTGGAAAAGTGGAAAAAGTCAGGAAATTCGAAAATTGACCAAAAAATTCAGGGAAAAGTCAGGGAATTTAAATATTTTAGTCAAAATCTGGAAAAGTCAGGGAATTTCATACGGCAATCCCCCCAAAAAAAGTCGGGTTTTGCGACGACGTTGGAAACGATTGCTTTATTGCCGAATTGTGTATCGCGTGAGCGTCGTTCAGGCAGCTGGCATAGAGCCAATTTTCGCAGGCCATTCGACACAAGTCAATTAGATTGTCAATTAGAAAGGCAAAGCAAGTTTCCAGTAACCTCGAGAATCGCATGCACATGTGCAGTGCATGTTGAACTAAACAAAATACTTATTATCGTATAAAACAAAATCGGTTTAATACTAATATACGGTACTGTGGGAGTTAAAATCAAAGAATATGTATTGTTAAGAAGAAAGATTTCTCTGCAACAGGAGTGGCTCCGTTCCAATGTAGAAGGAAACAGCTGCGCATGCGCGAAATATCTGTCACCAAAGCTCGAAGGTGTCGAAGTTCGAAGGTCACGTTATCAAGAGTTCATAAAATGAATATCGTTTAAAATTTCTTTAAACTTTAAAACAAAAGAAAATATTTTTTCGCACAAGTAAATTAATTAATGGATTAGTTATTTTGTGAGAAAAAACTATGAAAATCCGTGTTTAAATGATTGCGAAATATCAAAAAAGAAACGTTTAGTCAAAGAATGTTTCTTCTTAACACGTGTTCCTCAATTTCCTGTACACATCACGAAGGGAGAAATTCTGGCTGGCGAATTTTTCCTCCGCTTTCTAGCGGCGTATAATAGCATTACGTCTATGAAATCTTTCCTTCTTTACATAGATGTTCTTTGGTTAGGTTTTTTTGTTTCCATGTATTCTGTTTTAACTTCCATGTACGGTACCCACAGGATTTGGCGACATTATGATGAGCAGTAAACGTGTTATTTTGGTGTTGGCGACAATTTTCAAAATTGTGCCAAGCCCTTAGCGTGTATGAGGATTTTATCGCATAATCTTTTAAACCTCTTTTTTTTTTCTTTCTTTTCTTTTTAATGTACGGTACACACGGGATTTGGCGACGTTACTATGAGCAGCAAAACGGGTCGTTTTGGTGTTGGCGACAACTTTTAAAATCGTGACAAGGCCTTACCATGTGGTTTTACCACAAAATCTTTTAAACCTTTTTTATTTTCTTTTTAATAAATGCCTTATTTGTTATTTTGCCATAAAATAAAAAAATACTAATCTAGGCTAACCATTAAATATAACTAACTATATTCGTTAAAATATCGCTGATTATTCTAATTTAATTTTTAATTATCTTTATTTTTATGTTATTCGTATCATTTAATGTTGCTTCTTCCCTCTAAATTTGTTTATTATTAGTAAATAATACAAATTTCAGGAAATTTTCTCTGCCATAATCCTGAAATTAATTCTAGCAGTAGTAGCATACCATCACAAAATTTAATGCACATGTTTTTTGCTTATGTATGCTGCTAAATAAATGTAAAATATCTGAATTTATTTAAAAATATCATTAAATATATTTCTTTCGTTTAGCTGCAAAATGTCTGCAAAAAAATAATTTTTTAAAATCCAGATTGGGCAGATTCTAATCTCAATCTTCAGTGGAGAAACAATTTCTTTTATAATTACAATAGTATTCCTTTGGAGATTAATTATGTATATAAGTCATATGTAATTGGCAAATTTTTATGTTTTCAAGTATACCATAATTAATTTACCTCTTAGCACAGCCAAAATGCATTACGCGGATAAACTGGAATTTTCTTAAAATACACCTGGAAAACCTGGAAGAGTCAGGGAATTTCATTCTCCTGTTTGAGTGGCAATTTAAATTACATTTCATTTAAAAATTTTTTGAATTGAGCTATTGATTGTTTAAAAGTTTTGGTTTTTAAATTTATTAAATTCTAATTTTTCTCAATTTCTTACTTTATGTATTTAATAATAATTTTCAGTACCTTAAAGCACAAAAATACTACTCATATTTATATTTTGCTTTTAAAAAAATTGTTTTATAGTTAAGTTTTCATCTAATGGACAAGCGTTTTTCATAATAAACACTATATTGCAATCCACTGTCCAAGGAATTTATGCTATATTGAAATCTATAAGCACTATATTAAAACAAATGCAGAAATAAAATATTTTGGTAATGTGCATAAATTTGCTTTTGGGGACCACCAGTTTAGACCACTGTTTCTAATGAGACTGCCAGAATAATAAGCATAGCACATTAAAAAGTGTGCATAAAGACATGTTAGTATTATGATTAGCCCAAAGGGCTATTAGTTTCAAAATGGCATTTTTCATCATTTTATTTTTTGCATTGGTTCACTTTTCAAACTGTTGCCACCAAATGTTATCACCATATATTATATTTAAAGAAATTAAATAATAAAAAATCTGCATAAATGTATGTATTTTTCTCGTATTATGCTAAAACAACAGTGCCTACAAGCATCAAATTTTAAATAACATAATCCTCCACCGAATATGGGCATCTGGAAGCCCGAATTTGGAAAATTTTTTATTATATATTTTGTTAAACTTTAAAGATTTTTTGATTAACAAATTCGGTGATTTCAAAGCGAGCAATGACAACACTGTACGGGAAAAGAACATTTTTATCTCCAGTGCCCAAGACTGTGTATCGGAAATTCTAAAGATATGCTGTTTTTAAATATTTTGTGATATTACTGTGGAAGTGAATCCTATGTGGTTTAAGTGCGAAGAACATGTTATTTAATCATTTAAAGTAATGCCAGGGCCGGATTTATGTATAAGTTACACGAGCTATAGCTTTAGGACCTCCACTTTTTTGAGGTCACCCCAAAAAATTAAAATATATATTATAACAGATGTATAAAGGGCCCCATATCTCAAATAGCTTAAGGCTTTAATCAAGTCTTAAATCTGGCTGTGAATAACACACAAAAATTTTTTTGAACTATGTATTTCAAAGGACTTGTCAAGTTCAATAACATTCTTTTTGCTTTCACAAAGTACTTTTATATGTTTCTGCTTGCATTTTATATTGTAATTATAAATCACAAGTTTGTAAATTGCATGCTGAAAAAACTAAGAGAGAAGTAAGCAAGTAAATAAGGCTATTTAAATCATTTTTATATGTGATTGTCAGGTTTTTAATTGTAAATGTAATAACATTCTTTTTTAAATAAAAGTTCATTCTTTTAAATCACATTTTGTATGATTATTAAATATTTAATTTATTATATCATAGCATTTCATTCTTTTATTTTATCTATTTTTATCTTTAGTTAGTGCAACGGCAAAAAGCAATCTGAAAAATTACAAATTGTTATTGATAATTTCTTGGGTCTTGTGCTTATCAGTTCTAAAAATCTCAGTTTTTGTGCTTTTGCTCTGCAAAAGATTTGTTAATCTATTTAATATATGTAATTTCAATCTGTATGCAGTGTGTGAGCTTTGATAGTGACATTGACTCATTTTTCTTATTTTGCCCTCCAGTTTAAAGAAATAGCACCATTAAATCCCGATATTATTAACAACTTGTCTGAATCAGCTGTGCCTGATTTACCAACTCCTGTTGATGAAGAATTTTTAATGAATTATGAAAAAATAGAATATGAATCTAAAGGTGTAAGTATACCTAAAAGAAATGTACACATTTGATGTTATGTATTCTCACTCCTGTTTTGTTTAAATAATAGGATATCCGTAACATTTGTAAATTAGATATTTTTTTACAAAAATCAGATTGTAAGAACAGCTTGCACATAATTGTGATAATTAAGATTTTATTTCATATTAACATTTCTACTTTTTTATATTTTATGTAGGAGTAAACTGATGTGTAAGTTATATTGAATGAAATATTGTAAAATATGTTCCACATTTGTCTACAAATTCAAATATTTTGAGAAACTAATTTGTGGGAGGGAGAGGAATTTTTTTAAAAATTGTTAAATGTATTTTCACTTGTGATATTAAAATAAAAAAATAGTAGTAATAAACTGTTACTAGTAAGCTATTTATTACCAGTTATTTTAAGTATGGCTGTAACCTTCTTCTCGTGAAGGAATATTAGCTCAAGTTTAATTTTTCTTGTTTGATAAAATGAAAAATTTTGTTTCAGATTGTAAATAAAATGCTGTGATCTAAAATGTATGTTATTTGTGCTGTGAGATTATATGTGGAAATTTGTATGAATTCAAAGCCAGATATGCTTGTTTTATGATTTAACTTTCTCTTAATTCTGAAAATATATACAAAATTAAGTTGAACTATTGCTTTGGAAGGATCTTGAAAAAAAAAAAAAAAAAAATGGCCTTTCTATGTCCTGATTTTCCCTCACTTTAGAATTTGTTTCATAAACTGATTTTGATAAAATTTTGTTTTGAAGTTTATTTGATCTGCATACTGCTGTGTATATATTGAATTCTCTTTACTATTATGTTAAAAGTATTTTTAAAGTAATTAATTTATATAAAAGAAAATTGGAAATATAAATAAATAAGTGAAAATATATAAAATAAATGTAAGGCAGAATAAATCTGTGATAGGTTTGCTATATTAATAAATGTTGTTATAATTTTAAGAACATACTTGTAATACATAAATTAATGAATTGAAAGGTGTTTGCCTTTATATTTATTGATGAGTGAAGTAAGCCTAGGAGAAATTTCCAGATTTACAGAAGTGTTAATAGTAGCTATACTCTTGAAAAGAATAATTTATCTTAATGGGAAAGAATAATATTAAAAATTATTAAATTTGTATGAAATATCTCATATGGAGAAATTGGTTCAGTGAAGAGCTATTTTGAAGGCCTTTTTTAACTTATTGCTTTTGATTCTGCTCATTGATTAAAACATAGGTTATGATTATAAAATGCATTGCTATATGAGTAAAATATAAAAATCAGTCTGCGAACTGTCTGAACCCCTCATAGTGTGATTAATTGGCTGCATTTACTGTGACATGCATTTGAGATGTGCGGGTAATGAATTCAGTGAACTCAAGTTTGCTGATTATTCATTGCATTTTTTTATATTTTTCACATAAATTGTATGTAATTTATTTTTTCAATTATATTTTTATTCATTAAATACTAAAATATATAAACAAATCTAAAATACTTTAAAAACTAATTTTAGTAATATATAGCAGTACTACTATAAACCATTAACTACCACATTGTAAATTAAAAATAATTAACTTTCATAACATTAGTATTTGTTGAAGCATGTTGAATGAATTTTTCATACATTGTGCCCAAATTGATATTAAATAATCTTATGAAATCCAATTAATTCTGTTCTAGAAATGGTGTATCATTTATTGATGTAAATAAGTCCAGTTGGCATTTTTTGATATAACATGAAAGTAGTACTGTTTTACTGCTTGACTCTTTGTAGCAAAATTTCACCCCCCCCCCCCAATATCTGTAGATGTCAAATGGTTAATCCAGGGAAAGTTGCTTTTGTTTTTATTACATACTAGCTGTTACCTGGCACTTCATACATATATTGACAGTAACTTTCAGATAGTAAGGTAACAGTTTTTCAAAGATAGGCTCGCATCAATTTTTATGTAAATATGTGCAATAAATGCATATGAAAATGCAAGTCGCCAAGGGCTAAAAAAGATTAAATGGCAGATTACTAGATGATATAAAAGGTAAATTATGGTGTGACCACTGTCAGATTATTTTCAGATACATTAAAATTAACACCATATCATATGATTTTGCTACATTTTTTATTCACTTTCATATTAGCCTTACACCATAAAAATTACAAGACAGATGACATTCATTCTTATTATTTAAAATAAGAAAATGTTTTGACTATCCAATGCTCTATTCTTTTCCCAGGAACATACCTTAGATTCAGACTGTTTGATAGCCTTTGTTTTCTATTCTGCTGATTGATTAAAACACAGGTTATGATTATAAAATGCATTGCTATATGAGTAAAATATAAAAATCAGTCTACGAAACTGGTGTTAGAACAGTAATAGAAATTACATTTTATTTTTTAATGTATTGCATTCATCTTTTTACCTTTCTCTCTCTTTTGCTGACTAAGCAAATCTAAGCAGAAAGAGCCATGTGATGTAACCTTACTCATCTGAGACTAGGCATAACTAGTATTCATTACCATATTTGTACTGTTTTTGAGTGATGTTGTTTTTAATGTTCTAATAGCATCCTCATCTTTTCTATGAAAGAAAAAGATAACTGATGGCTTCAAATTGATTAATTGAATATTTTTTTAATGTCAATTACTATTACATAACGAAGAAATTCTCTTGAAAAATAACCTGGTTGATTTAGATAAAAAACCCAATGAGTAAATAAATAGATTGATAATCTGAAGCTGTGATATCTTTGTGGATAGTTTTTATAGAGTTGTACTGTTTTTAAAAGTCATGTTAGTAAGCTGTTATTAAAATGAATGTTGAATGAAAATTTAAATATTAAATATATGTCTAGGCAGTATATTTTGAAAACGTTTAAAATGAGGTGGTGTCCCCCCCCCAATCTTATCTTTAATTGAAAATTTAAGGCAATCTTGAAGAAGAGTAATATCGTTTGTTGATTTCTGTAAGTTTTGGGGGATTTTTATTTGAATGTAATTAGCAATTTCTGTAAATTACAATTGGATAATTAAAGTATTGTTCTGAAACATAGAAGATTGTTCAAAATATAATAAGAACTAGTATTATCCCTCTTGTAAACATCACATAGGTGATACAAATGGAGACATACTTTGTTTTTATTCATTTATTTATAAATCAGTATGGAATAAAATTAAATAATCCCAATTTTCATGTAATACAGTTGTTTTAAATACTGTGTGCTTTAACTTTGTTCGCACTTCACTTTACATTACTCTTATCATTATCAACATTTCATTTTTCTTTAGGTAGGAAAGGGGAAGCGTGTAAAAGTAAAGATTTCCAACATTCTAATCCATATGAGGTTTTTCATTTTTATAATTATTTTTATTACAGCTGGAAATTAAGTTTGTAATTTTTAGACATTATACTTATAGAATATATAATGTCATGCATTATATTTACATTTATCATATTAAGAAAAGGTACAACATATAATATATCCAGTTTATATGAAAAAGTTTCTCTAAGTGATAATGTGTATGTTGCTTTACTGTGCTTTAAAAAAAAAAAAAAAAAAAAAAAAAAAAAAAAAAAAAAAAAATTCCTTGTTAGTTTAAGCACATTTTCCAATTTTGTAACCAAAATAATACGTGTGCAATGTTTATATAAGATTACCTTAAAATTTAACATTATTTCAGCTTTTCTGATAATTTGAAAATTTATTTTAAATTTGTTTCTAAAACTAATAGCATTAAAAACTTGTTATTACTGATTTTAATTATCCCTCGGGGGTTTGAGGATAAGTAACATGCTACATGTGAAGAAGGGGGATGAGCTCAAGTAACATGAGTCTTTAGCTTATCTTTATATTTAACATGCATGTATTAAAAAAAAGTCCTGAATTTTTTTCTGTTCTACAAACAATTATAAAATTATAGTTTAAGATTATAAGGGGTGTATCCTTAACTTTCTGTATTTAAGAATTTTCTTAACAGTAATACAGGATTTATAGAGAGAACTTCTGCATCTTATATCTCAGTCATTCACACAGTGTGATTTCCTTCTGGCAATTACTCCTATGTGTACGGACGGATAAGTGCAATATGTTATGAAAGCGTTTTTTATGTATAAAAGAGAAGCATAAAAAAACTCAAAGTAATTGGGAAAGTATTTATTATCAAAATTGGAACTCACAACTTTATTTTGTAACTGAAGATTAACATTCCCCTCCCCTTTTTTTAATAATAGCTGTTAAAAGTATTAATATCCCTTTAAATTACAAGTATAGCTCAGTATGTGTACATTTGTGGGGGCGGAAATTGGACAGTTCTATATCTTCTGTTCTACTGGGCCGATTGACAAAATTCAAATTACGTTTTTCATGTCTCGAAAGCGTGACTTAAGATATATATATATTAGATTTATATATAGCATTATTCTAACGTAGGTATTTTAATACAAAATCAAATTTTCCCTGAACATACCATTTTTTCCCATATTTCGATTCTACGACTCAAATTATGCCTGGATATTAAATTTTGTAAAATTGGTGTGAAGTTTACAGAGAAATTAAAAAATTTGTCTTGCCGAAATTTTTTTAAATTTGCCCAAGAATAATTCACTTGGCGAACTTCTAAATATATATGGCAACTAATTTTCCCTTCGTTTCCATTATGCTGGAGCGGGGGGAAAAGGCACCTCATTTTTACTTCCAAATAATTTTAGCAAAGTGTTTAAACCACATCTGATGTTTTATCGCTTTCAAAAAATATGCCAAATTTCAAAACATGCCAATATATAGATTCTTGTATATCTTCGGAAATTTTGAATAAATTTTTTTTTTTTTTTTTTTTTTTTTTTTTTTTTCAGGTATGCTTTGAAATATATCCACTTTAAGATGATGTTAGAGTTTTATAGATTATAATTGAAGATTTTTTAAAAATAAATCATAAAAAATGGGTGAATTTTATTTGGAATAAACCTGAATTTCGAAATGTGAAAGGAAGAATCAAATAGGCTTAATAAGAAAAGAGAGATTAAAAAATACATACCAAACTCAATTAACATTGAGGAGCTAAAATTTTGAGAGCTATTTTTTTTTTTTTAATTACACGCGCGATTTTTACAAAACTTGGCGATTTTACGTAATTTGAGTGGTAGAATCAAAATATGGAAAAAAATTGGTATGTTATTTCAGAAAAAGTCCAGTTTTGTGTCAAAATACCTATATTAGAACAATGCTATAAATAAATCTAATACATATTCTAAGTCACACTTTCGAGACATGAAAAATGCAGGTTGAATTTTGTCAATCGTCCTGACAGAACAGGATATATAGAACTGCCCCCCCTTTTTTTAAGGGAGAGGGCACAGTTTACATAAATAAATAATTTATCTATCAGAATTTTTTGCTTTTGATCGCCACCATTTTACACCATAAATACTGAGATATAAACGCAGGTTCACATAAACTTTCAGGAAGCATAATTATTATCTATTTTATATTTGTGTTCCATACTCTGAACTTTCATTAAAAGTAGAATTATGTGATTGGTTTGCTGAAAAATTCTAATTCATTCCTCTGGTGTCAATGAAAATAATCATAAATAATAAATGTGTTTGCTGATGTTAAAATGTTTGCCATATTTTATGTGTGTGTGAGAAGACGTTATCTAAAAAATGTGCTTGTTCAGTCTGCAAGAAATATTTTAAATTCTAAAAGATATTTTAAATGAAACATTTCATTCATGGTTGTAAAGAAAAAGGATTCTGTTATACCATATAAACATTTCTTCATTTAAATCAGATAAAAGGTTGAGTCGCGTTACCTTTTCTTATGTTGTTTAAATTTCCAGTATAAAACATTTCGAAATGTGACAGATTTGTTGCTAGGAAGCAATTAAATATCATTAAATTTTAATGAGTTTTCAATTATTTTGCCAAATAATGCCAGCTGTAATCATGCTTTATGACTAAAGTTTGTGTGGGTCATGTCTTTTTGAGTTTTGTTTACATTTTACCATTTCTAATTTTTGCATTTAATCTGTTATTTTCACACAAAGAATTACTAACCAAGATTTATTTAATATAAAGTTTGGTATAATTTAAATATAATTGTGTACGTAAAAAATAATAATAATGGTGAAATAAAATTTCAAAATTTGAGGAAGTAAACTCTTTTTGTTAAATCATGAAAGAATTTTATGCAAAAAATCTTTGCATTAAATAAACTGAATTCAAATCAGTTGTGGTCTTAAAGTAAAAAAGTGAATAAATGCTATGTTAGTCTACCATATGTTTCACGTGTGTGTAGTTAGATTAATAAATGTTACATAAAGAACTAAAATTGAAAATTTAGATTTGTTTCATGAAAAATTCTCAGCCCACCCCAAGTCTGCACTTTTTTTTTTTTTTTTTTTAATTCTAACTTGGTTATAGAAAATGCTAAATTATTTTTCTCCACAATAGTAACAGATTAATATTTCTAGTGTAATTGGCATTTTTAAAAGTTGAAATTAAATAAAGGAAAATTTAGTATTTTATATTTTGTTTTATATTATTTATTTGCATAAAAGATCTTTAGAAGTTTCAAAATAAAATAATTGTTATTAATCATCTGAATTCCAATTCCTGTAAAATGTAGATTTGGTTGTCATACTATTTTCCACTTATTCATATATATATATAAATTTCTGGCTCGCTATTCTTCAATTTATATTGAAAAGTATTTCTTGAGCATTTGTATATATTGTTACATATAAAAGTTTTATGTTCAGTGGCTCAGGTGAATATGTTTTCTATTGCATACCTGCCAACTCCACTTTTAAGATCATACTGACATATGAGGTATGCTTATTCTCCAGATTTTTAAAGTATATATTATTTTACACTTTAGTTTTAAATTTTGTTGTTATTTTAAGCTGTTTGTTTCTCTGCAACTAAGTAATGAATTTCAGATAGATTATAAATATATTATACTGTATCAAATTTTGTCATTAGACCTGTTTACAAGTGTAAATTTAGTCAACATTGAATTAGAGAAGTCAGTGAAACAGTTACATGGGAATTGGTACATTAATGATTTTGTAGCTGCTGTTCGTTTTGTTGCATTGAAGACCTTATATATATTGAAATTAACTGTAGATCATAGTTTATTTATTAAAATCTCAATTATTTTAATGATTCTAACATTGTTTTAAAGAAAAAGTGGTTAAACTTTGTATAATTGAAATAATATTAAAATTTATGTATGCAACACTGCTTTATATATGTTAAAACTGCAGACAGTGTCCCCCCAAGTGACTTGTAAAACTTCTGTAAAAAAATTTTATAATTCTAAAAATGGTTATATAATTCTTTACTTCTCTTATGTTTTTGCCAGTTGAAATTTTTGCAATATTGCATCCAAAGTAATGTCCTGTGATAACTAATTTAGTATATAAACTTCATAAATGTACATTCTCATATTTAAGTAAAAAATTTCTTAGAAAAATTTTAAAGGTCTTAAAATTTGTTGTATATGCTTATAACAACTTTATCAATAAAACTCTTACATGTTTAGTTCTTTAATCAATATTATTTTAATTTTTATTAAATATATTCAAATTAACAATATTCTTAAATAAAGAATGATCAGCTAACTATTTAACATTATAATGTTATGCTATGCAGGGAGAATAAAAGATATGGTTATTAAACAACTATAAAAATCAAGCCATCTTTTTAAAAATCAGTATAGACAATATTTCCCTTTTTTTTTTTTTTCCAACTTTCCTCTTATGAAATAATAGATATGAAATTTAGTTGATTTTTGTAAATGTCTTGATTGCATTTGGAGAATCAAATTGAGAACTCATTTCTCTATGTTATATTTGTTAGTTTCTGTATGTATGTTTGTAATTTGGTATGTAGTTTGTAGTTTTATATCTTTTTTAATTTTCTCTCTTTGCCGATAATTTTTTTCTTTCTTTTTTATTTAGGCAAAAAAACCCTTTCAAAAGGAAAAAACGCTTCTGCGTAGGAAATCAGAACTGCCTCACGATACATTAACTCTCAAGGCTCTTAATGACCATAAGCGAGTTGATGAATATCTTACACCTGCTCCCTCTGAAAGTATTTGAAAATAGCAATAATCTAGGATGTTTTTAGCCATCTATTAAAATTTCACTCAAGGTGCTCAATGCTTATTTACATTCCTGTTGAGCAGACATAAAAGTAAAAAGAAAAAAAAGACTTCTGCCCTTCCTGATTGGTTGATATTTAAAAATCAACCGTTTATTTTTTATTCTGAAGATGCAGCAGTTCAAAGACTTTTTTCCCATAGTGGATGACATATATGGAAAGCTCCTCATCTCACTTTTTCTTTTCTAACTGAAAGTGCAAATTGTATCTTTATTCAGTATGTTTTGCCTAAGTTTGATCAGACAGCATTAGTTCATGTCATAGCCTACACTAATACTCATTTATAATGTGTATGCATTAAAAATATATATAATGATTGCTCATCAGAGTCATTCATGTTATGAAAATTTTATTTCAGTGTCAAGTGTATGAAAATCATTATAAAGAAACTGTTAAGTCGTCCTTCTTATTTTCATTTTAAACAAATTTTTATATATTCTGGTATATAACAATGGTAATTGATTTTTCAGTTTTTATGTATTTATTGAGTAATATTAATATTGAAATAAATTCTAAAAAAATTGTGAATAAGTATGCGTAACTGATACCAAGATTGACAGTTTGAAACATCTTCTTTGAGCTTATATGTTTGAAGGAAATATTACTCAGAGTATGTTATTTTTATTGGTACTGCTCTTAGCTTTCTAATCAAGCTTATTGTTTCTAGTTCTTAAATATATTAAGAAAGTGATTTGTAAAGGTGTGACTTTTATTTAGTAAAATTATACCAACTTAAGAAAACTTCAGAAGTGAATTTTTGGTTTTTTATGCACTCTTTTAGTACAGAGTATGCATTCCCCCTTTTTAAGTGTTTCTGTGATATAATGGATAAAGACAGTTAATTCTTGATTTAATATTTTGCAATGAGTTTAGTTGCATTTTGCATAAATCTAGGAATCAAAGAAAAAATTTGATTATAATTTATCTTCAAATTAAAAGCACCTCTGCACTTTAAAACAATATGTTTTTTGCTTAGTTTCTTGTTGTATGTTCCAATATTTGTCTATTTCATCCATCATTTATCAGTTCTGAACTTGTAGTGCTCTTGCTTCATTTATTAACACTTAATGCAAGTTTCTATTATTCAAGGACTTGCATTGATAATCATGCATATCTCAGTCATATATTCATGTGCCATTTTAAGTCTTTATGAAATGTATCATCAGTTATTGAATGCAATTTTTCAGCCAACCTTACCATCATCATTAAGCTGGGGAAATTAAGTCTAAAATTTGCTGTATTGCTTATGACTCGTGTACAGTCTTGTGAATACTTTGAAATTAGTGCTTGATCTGAGAGGTGATTGTTTATTAAAAAAATTGAAAAGAGGAAAAAATGCTGAATATTTAGGTTTTCAAAACTGTAGGAGCTTGTCGATATTATGCTTCATTCAGCATTTTACTGTAAATATGCAAAACACGTTTGAATATTATATCTTGTGTTATTTAAAGATTTTTATATTGTAAGACTGCAATAGTAAAAATATTTTTTTAATTTCTTACAAAAGTACGTATGCATCCTAAATATTATGCTTTTTAATATCTGGAAGTAAAAAAAAAAAACTGATAGAGGTCTTCTGATTTCTAGTTTATATACATAATTTGATGTAGAGAGTATATTAAATGACAGTAACATATGAACATTTTTCACGTGCGGTTATGTAGATGGCACTTTGTTCAGCACATGTGTTAAGTATTGCTGTCTGTTCTCTTTATGCATAAGGAAAATTTTAGGATGCCACAATACAGAATCTAGTATTAAAAAAATATAATGCAGTCAAAACCTTGATTTAGGAATTGTTAAAGGACTGTTGAAAATTATCATTAAATTAAAGCATTATCATAATTCAATTTCAATTCTGTTATAAAATGCTAAATTTTTTATTTACATTTATCAGTTACCCAGCTTTCTTTATGCTAAGCACATATACAACAAAAATATTACTTGAAAAAACATTTTAATGCATAATTTTTTATATTTTGGGTTGGACCAATGAAACCCATTATTAAATTGGGTTTGGAACTTCTGATTTTTATAAACAAAATTATTATTTGTGTAATATTGTTGCATTATAATAAAAGTCCATGTCATCAAAATTTCTTTTCGAGGGGGGAGGTATTTATTAATAGTATTTAGTAGCAGTTACATATAAATCTGTTATTTTATTATTGTAATTTTATGGATATTGCATGCATAAATATTATGTTACTAATTTTTTGAACATGTATATATGTATGTAAAGCATAACAAAAACTTAATTACTTTTGATCAGATTTTTTAAATCTCTATCTACATTTTATCATGCAGTTGGATAAGGTTCAAAATATTTCTTTGAAATACAAGTTTATAAACAATCAATATTTTTTTCCTCTAAACTATCCACATTGGTAAAATTTTAAGTCTAGTAGTTTAACATGTAGTTGCTTGTTTTTGTTAAACTTTGTTTACATACTGAAAGTCTGTTATATAATAAGCTGGATTATTTTTGATATCTTGCCCTGTTAATTTTACATAATCATATTTCATACTCAGCTCTTTATAAATGGAGAATGTATATGTGTGTATATATATAAATACATATGGAAATATACATGCTATCTATGAAGGACCACATTTATTTGATACTTTGTAATAAGATCAGCAGTTAGTGTTACATAGCAATACAATTTCATTGTAAACAGTAGATATTCTGTTTCGAGATTTCTTTCATCTGTATGTAAATTAAGGGTTGTGGTATGACTTTTGGGGTTTGTAAAACAGATTTCACAAAGAATGTAAAATAAAGATGTATGTTTCTTTAGAATAACAATTTAATTAATAGCTTGCTGAAATTTGTGATGTCTGTTTTACCTGGGGGGGGACGAAAATATATGACCATATATATATATATATATATATATATTGCTGGTTTTTTTTCCCCCACATTTATTTTGTTTATAGTTTCTGAAAATTTGAAATGCTTTTAATTTTGTGTAAAAAATAATTTAAAATTAGTTTATATTGCAAAAAACACAAGATTTATTAGACTGAACTGTAGAAAATGTACATGTAAATTTATGTATCAAGAATTTACAAATCTTAACATTTGAAGACTGTAGAGATTTAATATCAAAATTAGTATTTCAAGAAATTGTGGAAATATGTAATCATTTACTGATTATGTTAGTAAAACATGAAGAGAAACATATAGCTTTAAAGAATCTTTGATACATTTGATTGGATTAAATGATATTTTTAAATAAAAAGTTTTTTTTTTTTTTTTTTTTTTAATTTTGTAGTACCTAATACATAATACAGTTTTATGGAAGTACTGAATAGCTACTGTTATATGTATTTGTTTTATATTCTGTATTACAACTTTATTAACAAGTGCAGAAAAAAGGAGACATCATATTAATCCAGCTATTGCATGTTGAATTTGCTAAGGTTTTTAGATGTTAGTAATTTAGTTTTTGTATTCATCTGTAACAAATATTCATGTATGCATATTTGTCTGTAGGGCTATAAAAGGACTGCTGTCAAAAATAATTCTTGAGGCCAGTTTCTGCAAGATAGACTTTAGTTCATTAGCTTTGGGACTATTTTGAATAGGAACTGGAAAATGTGGAAAATATTATTCAGTTAAATCATCAAAAATACTGTTAGTAACTCAATGTGAATGATGTGCAATGACTTCATTCGTAATGTTGAAGTTCGTTGGTTAACTGTTGCATATTTTTTTAATTGCTACGTAAGTCCTGCAAAAAGATTGCAGTACAATAAATTCATTGATTGTAAGAGAGTTTTTTTTTTTTCACACTTTGTATCCTTATTCTGACAAAATAATAGTAAAAAAAAGGAGGGGGCAACTTTTATACAAAATTCATTTTATTATTTCCTTGTAAAATTTTATTGCAATATATGTAAAAACATGACTTAAAATAATTTGTTTTCCATAGAAGAAAATAAATGCAAAATTTTTTTTTATTATTTTGAAGGAAAATTGTTATTTATTTTATTATTTAGAAAAACAGTTTTACTATGTACCAAAAATTTTTAATCAAACTGGAAATACAAGATTTGATCATTTTGTTTTTAATTATTTTCTACGTGTATTTTTGCATCATAAGAAAACATATTTTACATTTTAAAATTTCTTACTTTTAAAGTGTTTAAAATTTTGATATTAGGCAATCAAAAAAAAGATGCCAATTTTGTCACTTTTCAAATCATTAAGTAGACACTTGTAATTTTACATACTATGTACTAAAATGAAATTAGCCTTTTAATTAACCAATGAAATAAATGAGACGAATTTTATATACATAATTAATTCAAAATATATAATTTTCTTTGCTCTTCATTAAATTTCAACATTTTGCAATTATTTTTATATAACTAAATTTAATACATAGACTATTATCCTTGATCTACCTATGATCCTAAACTTTTTTTAAAAATAAAGATCTAGTCACTTAAAGCTTAAGATTTTTAAAATGGGTGGGGACCCAGGATTATTTCTTAGATTATTCCTTTGACTGACAAAAGCAGTATTTTGCTCTTTCCTCTATTACATCTTCTTTTTCGCATAATAGTAGAAGATCATACTATGCCTTTCTTAACTTTGTTTCAGTGTAGTTTGAAGTTTTTAAAATTATGATTTTTTCCCTTTGAATGATTTATGAATTAGTATGTTCATTCCAGCTTTTTAATAGTTAACCTGACCTTGTATTTAGCTATTTTTAGTACCTCCCCATCTTAGTTGAAATCTGCTATGCTGTTTTATTAAATTTATTTACTGGGATAATAAGCTTCTGAAATCTATATGCATTGGATCTGAAAATGTCAGCATATTATGTATGTAAAGAAAATTAAATATTTAAGAATAATATCTAAAGAAAAATGTTGACTGTGTTTGGCAAGCTAAAAGCACTAAAAAATTTTAATTAATCAATTTATCATGAAAGAGGTAATTTCATTTTTAAAATTATTCATTGTATTACTTTACCCTCCATTTACGACATACATATATTTTTTCAATGTATTCCATTTGTGATAATTTCTATATATGTATATGCTTATCAGATTTTTGTAATCATATTGAATATGGTTAAAATATTTTTTATGTTTGATAACAACCATGAAAGCATGGATGATTAAATTCTTTTTACCAGCTCCAAGATAAAAGTGTCATCAGAACTTATACCATTAGATGACAGTAATATTGATTACACTTTCTATATTCAAAAGTTAATATTAGAATAAGAAGGCATAAGCATTGCTTTAGAAATGCTTCTAGTTTAATACATATATGGTGGACTGGATAATTATGAATAGGCTACTTGTGATAACCTTGTAAAATAGTTGAAGCTTCAGCTCTTAAGTTATTAAAATTGTATATGGGTATTGCATTAACTCAGAATTACTGAGTACATTTGGGGGGGGAAGATTCTCACTAAGTTATAGTCAGACTTGAAGAAATGACACATCAAAATTATGATTGTAATAATGTTAAAAAAAATTACTGATTGAACATATTAAGCTAACATAAATATTTTGTTTTTCCTTAATATTATTTTTTCAATACTAGTAATGTCTTATTGGGTGGAATCTGTCAATTTAACTTCTTAATTTTACCATATATTGTATGAATATCATGTTATAAAGCATTTGGTAGCCATAAAATTGAGTTGAACTTAGATTTTTATTAATATTTTGTTACCACGTAGTTTAAATCTCCTTATGCTTGTCAGAAATTAGACATCAGCCTCTTTCTTACATGAGTAATATAATAAGTCATAATAATCATATAATAAGTAATATAATAACTAGTCTCACAAAAATTTATGATTCTTAAAAACTTGACAGTATGTTTTAATAACAAAATAGCATGCAAAAGATGGAGGAAAATTCAAACAATGATGATTTCTCATGGGAAATGACTTTTGATAAATGGAAGATAACGAAGTAACACTGAAAATTTAGTAATTTACATGTGATCTCAAAATGAAATTAACATATAGTTAAAGAATATTGTGACTGGATCCTGAATGACTTATGTATATTATTTTCTGTATCATTTATACTGTTATGAATACTATTTCAATTTATCCACTTTTTAATAGTATCAAATACAACATTCAGTGCCATGTACGCAAATACATTTCAGACTATCTTAGAAACAATAGTTAATTATTATATCTGTGATATGTGCAGTTGCATCAAATAGATCTTGCAACAAAGAATTCCTGTGAGCTTTTTTATTTGAATTACATCAAACAAAAGATTTTATTGAAAGATGGATGCTTGGAGCACAGGATGGATGCTTTGTGATATTTTTAAAATATAATACATGAGGAAATTTGTTACATTTATAACATTTAAAAAATTATTTTGAATGATATGCATAATGAAATGTTTCGCAAATTTCACACTCATACAAATTTTTTCCTTATGTTTTAGTGTAATTGCTTTATGTAATTCATAAATAAAAGTTTATTCTTAAATTCTGAAATTATAAAAATATGAGCTATGATGTCTCTTCTTACTGATATTTCAAATGAGATCTCTATTAACTGCATAATATCCACATCTTTGTATAAAATAATCTATACAATTGATGCTACACAATGAAATTTTTTAATGAATGTCTGGAAAGCTTTGCAAAAAAATTGTGAGTTGAGACTATTTCCAAAAGCAAATAATAAATCTTTTTAAATAAATTCTTTCGCCACTTCGCGCGTCATGTTTTGCGGCTTCAGTGCTTCGCGGGTTTTTCCAAAATATTCATAAAAAAGTACAACCAAACAAAAAGATGAGTTGACTCAGAGCACATACCACAGGCTCTCATAAAGGCGCATGATTGGTTTCTGGTGCGACGTCGACCATTAAGAGTACGAGTGGATTTATCCATGTGAGTTGATTTGTCAGTGCATTATCACAGCCTCACCTAGCATATTCTCTTGTATCTCGCCAGTCTTGTCTATGATGTTGACTGTCTCCCATACTGTATTTTAGTGTTGTGGATAACATTTTTTATTAATTAAGTCCTTATAATGCTGCCTAAGCGCTGTGCCCCTGCAAAAGCTTCCTCCAGGGTGCCCAAGAGGAAGAAGATGATGACCATCAGCGAAAAAGTGAAACCTTTTAGATATGATCAAAGAGGGCAGAAGTTATGCATCTGTGGCATGCCATTACGGGATGAATGAATCTACAGTGCGGTACATCAAGAAAGAGAAAGCAAACATCCACAAAACTGCTTCAGTAACCTTCAATAAAGAAGCAAAACGTGTGGTAACTCCGCATAATAACAGAATTATGTAAATGGAATTTGCACTGGCAATGTGGATTGCTGATTGCAGGGAAAAGGCAATGAGTTTGGACATTTATATAATCAGGCCAAAGCTCTCTATGACCAAATCTTGCCGATGACGTCAAGGAAGAGGCTGAAGAAGGTGCTGACGAACCTCAAGCCAGTAATAGTGCTGCCAGGAGTTATTTGCCTCGAGGACGATGCTTTTCAGCCAGCAAAGGCTGGTTGAAAATTTTTGAAAACAGTTACGGCCTCAGAAACGTGCTCCTGTATGGTGAGGCTTCCTCTGCTGACAATGATGCTGCTTGTCGTTACACGTGGAGGAGAGTTTCCTAACATCATCATTGAAAACTTGTTCTGCGAGGCTATCTCTCTGAACAGGTTTTCATGAACAGGCCTCTTCCAAAATAGGCATGGATGAAACATGCCTATTTTGGAAGAGGCCTTCGCATACATTACTCTTCAAGGCTCACAAAGACTCTATGACTGTCATCATGGCTGGCAATGCTTCAGGTTTTATGCTTAAGCCAGGCCTTATTTATAAAGCCAGAAATCCATGGCATTATAAAACAAAAATACTGCTCTGTTACCCATGTTCTGGATGCATAACTCCAAGGCCTGGACAACGAAAGCTTTGACCCTTGAATGGTTTCTCCATTGCTTCATTTCCCAGGTGAAGCTGTATCTGGCTGAAAAGGACCTCCCCTTTAAAGTTCTACTCCTGATGGGCTGTGCAGGAGGCCATGCAACGGACCTGCAATATGACGGTGTGCAGATAGAGTTTCTGCCCCTGAACACTACATCTCTAATTCAGCCGATGGATCAAGGTGTCATTCATGCCTTTAAGGCACTCTACACTCGCTCCACGATGGAGGGCCTCATCTCGGCAGTTGACGATGCCAATGACAAATTCACCTTGAAAGCATACTGGCGCAGTTACGACATTGCCTCATGTTTGTCTAATATTCAGCGAGCATTAAAGGACATGAAGAGCGAGACCATAAATTCTAGCTGGAAGAAAATATGGCCGACTATCCAGGCTTCACTCTTGAAGAAGTTCATCACTCATCGGTGGAGAAGGCAGTGAGACTGGCTCTCATAAGGAATAAAGGATTTGTCGACTTGACAAAAGAAGACATCAGTTCCTTTATCGATTGCCACTTGGACCCACTAACCGATGAAGACCTCCTTGAGATGACAAAGTCTGCAAGTGAAAAACAAAGAGGAAGATGAATAGGAAACTGAAAAGTGTGGCCTTACCCTGGAGAATCTGCAACAATTTGCACAAGTCATTGATGACAATACGGTTCAAGCAGTCGTGTTGATGGGGGTTATGTCCTTGTACAGGGGAATTTTCAAGGAAAAGAAAAAAAAAGACAACAACTACCCATCACCATGTTTCTCTCCAACGCAAAGCCCCCTGCTCTACCATCAGCACCTCCAGCAGAAGTCTCTGAGTGAGCCTAAAGCTTCTACGAGTCGAGTG